GCTGCCTCGGGCCGGGCCCCGCCGCTTCCCGGTGCCGCCGCCGCGGCCCCGCTGCCCTGGGCGGCCGCCGAGCACAGCCCGCCGGGCTGGGGCGGCCCGCAGAGCGTCCCCGAGCGGAGAACATGCGTCCGGCCCAAGCGCCTCATCTCCCGAGAGGCAGAACGCCTTCTCCTGCTTGCTCCCAGACGCCTGTTGCTCCGAAATACCCTCGCTCCCTTCTAGGTGTTCTTCCCATTTGATACGTTTTAATGTCATTGCGTAGCCTCTTCCCCACCTTAAGCCAACCTCCTGGCTGTTGGGCATCTGTCCAAGTGGGCACTTCCTAGTTCAGGTAAAAGTGCTGTTTAGTTGTGAATATGAGTGGTTAGATCCTCACTGGAGAGCGGCTGATGAGAGTTCACGCCCTCCAGGTTGGCGAGGTCAGGAAACATGTTCCCCACAGGATGGCATGTTCCAGACAGCACTGCACGTAACTGGCACCAGGGCAGTGCCTCCCGCTACACACCGACCGTCCTGAACCTCTCACCTCTGGTCACCAACAGGCTGGGGGGGAGAAGAACATATGGAAGAAATACAGAGTAGTGGCTCAGGATTTCTTCCTCTGAAGGAAGAAGGAAAATCTAGGCAGCCTATGGCTGCAGGTTAGAGGAAGGCGGTTTGAACATGAGTATGAGTCATTATGAATGGCCAGCTTTATTTCATTGCAATAAATAAACCTAAACTATGACATTCTAGTTTTTGCGTAGTTAGGAGACAATAGTATGATGGCCCAGAGCTAGGCATAATTTTCTCATAATTCTCCCTTGATAGAAGTCAGTCAGAAAGTATGGACTAGCTGAAAAAAAGAAAAAGGTACTAATGTGAGTTTGAATGCACTGTTTGATCTATAGTGCTCTTTGACCTCAATAGCTATTAGCATTTGCATTAAAAATTGTTTAAACTTTTTAAAACTCAGATTACACCTGGAGATATGTCAAATATTTAATATTTAATATCAAATGTCAACATAGCACAACTCTATAAATATAGAAGCAAATAATTACTTATAGATAATGTAAGGAGTTTTAAACAGGATGATTTCTTCTAATGGAGTTGAATTTTGCTAGTTCAGTGCCTGTTCAGTGTGACACATAATCTTTATGGCTCATAACTCACCTTGATTAGATTAATAAAACCATTTCAACTCCTGTGAGTCCACAGAAGTGCCAGGGATTCACATGCCTTTTAGAAAAAAAAATGTGCCTTTATTTTCAAGAATGAAAATAATTTAACTAATTATACCTTTTCTGCAAGCTCTGGGCATTTCATCTACAGAAGAAAGATGGAAAGTGATACAAACTGCCAACGTACAATGAAATGTTAGATTTTTTTCTGTTCTTTGAGCTCAAGCTGAAAAAGGGATAAACAAGTGATCTCTATTATAATAGCAAAAGAGAAATTTAAGAAGTTACATATAGTGCAAGAGATAAATCATGGGTACATTGACAGATGTTACTTACATGAATATAAAAGGGAGATTTCATCATTAAGTCAGATGAACTGAGTAATGGTTTAAATTGTTACTTGTAACTCAACTGTTCTTCTCAGGTTTTCTTGTGTTAGAAAAATAAAGGTAATTGAGTGACTGGCAGAATTTATTACTTGGCTTCAAAAGACCATTTGTAAAGCCTGTCTTTTAGGTCACATTTCAAAACTAATAATATAGGGAAGAGTGCATTTTGGTTTGGGAAAAAACCTAATTAGCTATTTGAAACAGATCACAAATGTATTGGGAAAAAACTGCCAAAGATTACATCAAAGTTTTTATGACATATAGGAGTCAGGTCACAGATTAGGCAAACTTATTTATTTATCCCATATATTGCTTTGATACATATGAAAGGAGCAAGTTTTATCCATTAGAAGTTCTGATCAGAAGATTCACATGTATTTGTGAACTGAAAAACTCAACACTTTGTTTATGACATATTATGACTAACACTGTTAGTTCTTTTCTTATTTTTGATTGCTGTTGATCCCAACTATTCTAACTAATGTTTTTATGTTAAGTAACTCGATGCTGCACACCCTAATTACCAACTGCACTCATAATAATCTTGTTTATTTAGAAACGTCTTTGCTCTCTAGCCTGGGCAAGGACAGCTATTGATTCTCTTAGATAATAATCAAAAGCTGTTTGTTTATAATCTTCATTCTCCAAATTCCCTGAAATGAATTTTATGATAATTTTAACCCAGTTAGAAGCTGCTGAAAATGGATTTGAAATGGTACTGATGCCAAATCCAAAAGAATAGTATTCATAGCCTAATAAAATACTGCTTTTAACCTTGCAAAATGAGTTTACTTGTAATCTGTAGGAGTGTGTCCCTTAATGACAGAGTGGCAAAACTAAATTTTGTCCCCCAAAAAAGGAAAGGAGCCCAGAAGTTTCTCTCAACGATGAGGTGAAAAGCCACCTCATAGGACCTCAGGGATTTCACCAAACACTAGAGAACATCTAACTGGATAGAAGCCAAAAAGTCCTGCCTGACCCATCAGGTAGAAAAGAACAGAACAAAAGAGCTAAAGTGCTTTTGTGAGGAGTTTTTACCAGAAGCAGACCTTTGCACCTGGCTCGAGTTTTTCTGTTTGTTATTTTGCCTTTTATTAAACCTTTTTTTTTCTAACACCGCAGCAGAAGTCATCCTGCTTATTTTATGCCCCCAAAAGTAATAGCTGAGCTATCCTTAGGTGTATTAAGTTTCTTTTTGAGGGCTTATGAGACCTGGCCCAAGAAAAACAATAGTAACCTTTGAAAATTATATCCTATTTGCTTCTGGTTTGTGTCTCATCTCTCCAGAAGTGCTACTGGTTCACTGGCTGGGGATTGTGCTTTCTGTGCAGGGAACACTGTGGCACCACAAAAAACCCCAGTAAAAAAAGCAAACCAGGAAAGAGACATAAATGGTACAAAAAAGTGGAATAAGATTAGATTGCACATTAAGATCAAAGTCTTTACCAAGCTACAGTCCTCTGTTATAATGAAACTATAATGGTCCTCACATTCATAGGCCACCCTGGTTTCACCATGCTGCTGCAAGTATTTTGTTACCAGCATCCTTTCATAAAACTATTTGCAGTTATGTCATATCTGAAAGCCAAGGCTGTTAGTCAGGACCAAACTTCTTTGTTGCCAGTTTGTATCCATTTATTTTTGGCCAACACTACTTTTCACCAAAGGAGCTCTTCTTGCTCCCTAGTATTTAATCTGTGATTTATTTTTAGGGATCCCTTCTCAACCTTAGGTAATGCAACCTGTTAGGTAATGCAAGCCAAGAGCAGTTGTCTCCTCTTGTTAGACAGCCACCAGTGCCCTGATCATTCTAATTCCCCCTTGCTCTCCTTCCACTCAACATCCTTAAGCAACAGTGAACAGAGATGCGTACAGTATTCCAGATTAAGTTTCACAAGTCCTTTCTTAAATATTTATTTTGTATATGTACTCACCTGCTGTGTTCTAGGATCCTATTTGTCCTTTTGAAAGTCACATCACATCAGAAACACCAGTGATTCTGCCTCTGAATAGCATTTGTGGGTCTTCTGTCCTGCTGGTTTCCCACAGCTGAGATTATGCTAATATGGAAATACTGACCTGCCACCGGGTGGATGCCCTTTCATTTTGCACTGTTGAATTTCAGATAGTCACATAAGCAATTCTGTCTCTAGTCTTCAGATGCTTCCCATATGGCATTTAAAAAAATCTTTAAATGCTGCTCAGCTCTCAGTCTTTAAGTGAGTAGCACAGCTAGTGCTGGTGTAATTACTGCAAATATTAAAGTCAGTCTCAAGATGGATCTTTGAAGTACTCCACTAGTAAGTTTCTTTCAGTGTAACAGTTTCTTTAAATCATTTTTAGTAGTCTCTCCCCATCACCATCTTTTGTTTCTTGTTTTAATCCCTTTCTTAATTGGATTGGTAATGACTCATACCATGCAGTATCAGAAACTTTATTTAGATACTGCAAGATTAGATATACTAAATTTCCTGTAGTGACTTTATATCAAATTCAGGTAGTCATACACAAAACCCTCTATGTCCATGTCTGATATAGTAAGCTGACTGTATTTGGGAGTCTGTTTCTGAATTACTAATTGATTAATGCTTAATTTTCATAAAATTGTGCTTACCTATTAATCGCAACTTGAAGAATGTTTATTTTCACGTATGGATAATGTCCCTTCAATCACTAGTGCTTCTTTGCAACAATGTTACTGCTTTCATTACACCAGAATAAATACTGAAACACTTAAATTGATAAAATCCTGTTTTAAAATTTCTGTAGATATTCACTGGAAGCCTCAGGAACACTAATTTATATTTCAGGCTAAATAAAGGTTCCATTCTGATTGGAGTTACCAGTATAAACCTATTAACTGGAGAGTATCTGTCCTTGATTGCTTCCAGTGAAAAATATTTCAGATTCAGGCTCATTGTTATAAGTGCTTTTTAAAAATTGTCTCTTGTTATATTAGAACTTTTAAAATTCAGATCAGAAAAAATAATTCCATATTGTACACTTAGGTATGGTAAAGTATGTTAAAGAAAGGTTTGGTTATTTACGCAGACTAGGACATCATTCAGGATGAATTGATGTCATCCCTCCTCTCTAATGGCTCTACCTGTGTTATTTTTTCATGTTAAGGCAGTGGAGTTAAATAGCTGTGATCCAACCTTGCCGTAACAGTTAGCTCTGTGCTACATAAATGGAAACAGAGCAGGTTTTTAATTGTGATGAGGTAAGCTCTCTCCCTCCATTTCATCAGGGAGCTGACATGACTTGCTGAGCTGGTTATGTAGCATATAACCACAGCCCTTTCCCACAGGAAGGACTTGGCAGGGGAGCAACAAAGCTGGTAAATGTAATTACCTGCTATTCCGTGACTGTCAAAGCATGAATGATGAAATGTTTTCTGTGACACTCGCTTCTGGCTGCAAAATGATGATCCCTCCTTTTGCTGCTTATTGATGGCAGAAAGGCAGGGAAAGGTGTGCACTGCGAGGTTGTGGAGGATAGAGGGGATGACGCTTGCCATGGTGTCAGTCTGTTTCCAAACAGTGAGGCCACACATGCTAGTGCTGGCTGCTTGCTGCCTCACAGGAGCATTTTTTCACTTCAAGAATATTGGAAGTATTGCACCTTCTTTTCTACCACAGTTATTTTATGCTTCCAGTTTTTATCAAGATTAAGCTATTAATAATATTTCCTGCAATTGTGAGTGGTGAGTTCCTGCTTCTGGTATTTCTGTATTGCCCATTTCCCCTACCTCCTTCACAGTCTGTCCTTGTCAGAACTGTGTTCTGCTCTTAGTCTTAGCCAAAGTATCTACTTTCCTTGACCCTAAATTGCCATTAACCAACATGAAAGGGAGAGAAGGTGACTGATGTCCTGTAACTGACAAAAAATTAGACATTGTGAACACTTTTATATCTCATCAGGTTTATAAAAATAGAGAAGATAACTTTTCTAAACATCATACACATTATAAAATTTGTCTATGTAACATTATTACCAAATTATTAACATTTCTTTTCAGAGGAAACAGCATTGTTGATTCCCACCCCCCACTTTTTTTTCCCTGGTATCATCTTAAGGCCCTGTGCACAATGATCACTGCAACTGCCATCTACACTCTGAGCAGAAATGTGAGGCTTGATCTGCGTCATCGCTCACATTTAGAGACTCACTTATCAACTGGGATACCAACTGAGCCCTTGAGACATGAGCAAATGTCTATATTTATCACCAACAGCCCTTTTTCCACAAACTCTTGCCACATGATGTCATAGCACTGGTTGCATCTCAAATGCCTGGTGCACCCATACAGTGAATAAAATTTTAATATATGCAGAAGCTGAACAACAAATTGTGAGGCAAAGCTCTCTGAGACATAGCCCTTGTTTATGCAACATTTTCACACCTCAGTGTAAGTGTGGATACAGTTTTCCTCCTTGTTATGTTAGCATTTAGGATGAAATACACTAGGTACTTTAGTTATTACTAACACTTAGGCCGTCACAAAGCAGGTGGCATCAGGAGTAGAAAAAAGACACTGGGAATGGGAAAGAGCAGAATTGGTTCTTTTGGCAATTCTGTTGCCTTGTGACAGCTTTATAGATTCACTGACCGTACCCCAAATAATTTGCCTGTAACTGGTAATTTTATGAAAGAAATGACACAATATGATATGATATGATGATATGATAATCTACAGGCAACAGAGGATGAAATTGATCTTTTGTCAGTATGTTCCTTCTAGTTGAAGTGTATATGCATTTCTTCCCTGTATTGGACGTTTCTTGATATATTTTTCTATTTTCTAATAATTTACAAATTTTTTCCTTGGTATACCACTTCAGATTATTAGTATAAATTCAACATTTCATCTTCAACTTACATCCAAAAAGTCATTTTGTATGTAATTCTGTAGGTAATTTGTATGTAGTTACATTCATCAAATATTTCAGTGAGAAATATCTTTATCTGAAGGGCTGTTATGTCAGCATAAACAAAAACGAAACAAAAAAGAAGCAATGGAAACGCTTATTTAGTGCATTTCACTACATCATTTTAGCCAACTTCTTTTTTCACTAGCAAATGTTCCTGGTGATGTAATTAATTTGTTTCTTCTATGTCAATCATGTATCTACTACACATGAAAGTTAAAATTAGTTCTACTCTCATGCATTGCATTTTACGTCAGTGAATACCACTGTTGTTCCACAGCTGTTTTTGTGATTGTGGTTTGCCTTCTAAACAATCTAAACTATCCCTGGAATGTGCAGGGTAACCAGTGATAACAGTAATGTCAAGAGAAACTTTAACCATGGGAGATGTTTATGCTTTATTACTGCAGAGCTCGTTTTGAGATCTATTCTGTAAGAGCAAAGGACTGGACATTACCCTGTAATGAGTGAATCAGAAGCTCAGGAAGATTACTCTGTGGAAAACAGTGAAGGGCATATCCACAGTGTGCTCTCCTCACTTTCCAAACACCTCTAGTGTTTGTGAGGCCACGACCTGTAGGGAAAAGTGGACAGAAGTTGGAAATACAGGAGTATTCTGGAAGTAATCCATACATGGGTTGTGTTCTAGCTGGGTCATAATAAAGCAAAATTTAGTTTTTCTTGGAATTAACAGCAGTTCTATATGTATCTGAAAGAAATTTTAAAGACCAATATTCTAGTAGTAAAAGGCCCTAAAGGCAGAACCATGCGTCCCTGGCTTTTATAGAGACTATTGCATTAAAGGCATTCAAATATTTCTTTGAAATTTCTATTTCACCAGAATTGTACTCATAGCACTTGATCATTCCAGATTGTGCACCTGGTGGTGGTGGATGGCCCTCCATGGAAGTGTTCAAGGTCAGGATGGTGTTTTGAACAACCTGGTCTAGCAGAAGGTGACCAGGAGCTAGATGATCTTTGAAATTCCTTCCAATCCAGGCCATTCTATGATTACTCCATGGTGTAGACCATGGTTTAGGATGTTATTGTTAAAACCTGTCAGATATCTAAGAAAATTACCTTTGGGAAGTGCTGATTCCTGGTAACTCCTAGTACGAGATGCTTCTGTGGCAGAGGCTCAGTGGGATTTTTGTCATTGGTCATCCAGAGAGACTGGATTTCCCTCAGGCCAAGCACGTGTGACTAACTCTGGCTGCTCAGTGATGAAAAATGTTGGTTGCATTACACTGTCAGTACTTAATAACACAGGTAAAACACAGCAAGGTGAGCTTCTCTTTCCATTTACTTCACACAGGACATAATAAAGATGTCAAAAGTAATATACTATTAACATCAAGACAGTGGTTACAATGTTTGTTTTGTCTCTCAGTTACCTAGCAACAGATCTTGATTGTATTTTAACATTATTAGTAAGCTTATTATGTGCATTTTAACTGAAAATTTAGGAAAGACATTATATATCTGCTTATAAGCAAATGTGAAAAAAAGAACAATCTATCTGCTACCATTATAAAAACCTAATGGCATATCTAGCACGTGTTTCAGGATATTCCTTGTATTTCTTTTCAGACAAACAAGTTTTCTTATCCTGAATATGCTGCATTAGAGCATCAGAATACTAGTACAAGGGTAATTTGGGCATACAAAAATCTATTTCTCTCCTCAAATGAAGCACCAAAACTTCGAGTCATACCTCATTGTAACCAACAGTCAGAATTAAACAGCTGCCCATCCATTAATGTACCACCGTTCCAAATAACCTACGGATTTGGAGAGGCAGAAGAGTCATTAGCAGGAGTTTCTGTAATATCCTAGAAGAAAGAAATTTGCAGTACTGAGCATTCAAAATGCAGCACTTGCTCCTGCCAGAAGTGCTCTTATTCTGCTGCATCCATTTACTGTTCTCTCAGAGAAAGAGCTGCCTTTCCCTCCCCTCTCTCTGTTACCAGACTATTGAAGACTTGAAACTACTATCCTGTACTCACCTCTGACATTTACTAGAAGACAGAACATTCACTAAACCAAACTACAGATAGCTTTTCTGAAAAACATTAAGTAATATACATAATACAATTTTATAAATGACCAAACACACAATGAAGAGCAACTGGCATATTTGAAACCCACTTGGAAGGGGCAATTTCCATTAGTTTTACATTAATTCTCCTATCAGTATATATATAAACATACACATGTTAACTTGGAAATAGACACTGTCAAATCTTGGCTAAGAAATAAAACTAGACGGGAATCTTTCCTTTGCTCCAAGCCTCCATTTCAAGGAGGAAAGATTTCAATTTACTGCTATTTGGTCAATATATATCCCTCTCTAAGTAATGATTAGTCCAGAAATAAAGACTCACTGACTGGGCTCACAAACTATATTTAAAACAAAGTTCTGAACATTCTGAAATACAAGAGTCACTCTGTAATTTCAGAGCAGTTGTAATATCTTATCCCACTCTAACAGGCTGCCAGAAATGCTCCTGGATAAGGCCCATCACCATTTGTTCTAAAGATATCAACTTTTTGGCTGGCTCTGTCAGGTAACTGAGGGCATTTGGGCTTTGATTCATATCTGATATACTTCTTACATTTCAGCTTCGAAGGCAAAAATTTTGGATATGTATTTAATCTGTAAAATTTTACTAAAAGGTTCCCAATACTGCATGCAATAAACTGCTGTGTTTTATCCAGAATAAAAAAGATGTATGTGAAAACTTTCCCTGTAAATATCCACATTACTTTGTATGAAGCATTTGAGCATTTTTTCTCCAACATGTAATTTAGCAGAGTGAGTCATAATATGTTTTCCATGTAAAGAGAATGAAATTCCATATTGTGTTACTGGTATCCCTGGAATTAACTGCAGAGACTGAAGATAGGAAGTACATCCCTAAACATTGATACAAAACACAACCAAGGCTCCAAAGAAAATTATTTTGGACATTGCAGTATATTGCAACTAGCCCTCTTATTCTGTCTTTTTAATTAATGTAAATGGAATGAGGAAAAGAAACTTTTCAGAATATCCAAATAAAGGGTTTTTTGTTTGTTTTTCTGTTTGTTTTTAAAGTTCTACAATCTGCTTGCATTAGTAACACTTTCCTGAAGATACTTGAGGCTGTGGGATGACATTCAGACCTGTTTTTTAAGTATCACTTAGAACTTACATATGTCAGTACCTTTTCTCCCGTTTTGTTAGGAATGACTGTCTGTGTTAGCATTTGGTCGTAGTGCAAACTGGTGTTTCTTGGTCAGCATGCCCGTCGGAACACAAGCAAAACGGAGAGTGTACAGATCTCATCATTGTCCCCGGACAAAGGCTTTATGACTTCATTTATACCGCAGCTAAGGCTGGAGGACATGGCTTAATTTTGAAGTGCTATCGGCATTAATAAACCAATTATCAATGATCTTGACGAGACCTGCATTTCAGACCGCGTGCCTCCTGTTAATACGTGCTGGTTTGTATCACACACCTTTGTATGCACGCAGTGCATTTCCCAGAGAGGGACTTCAGGTGGACAAACAGCACTGGCGCCTGGCACTGTCCAAACCCGAGGGGATATAATGGATATTATCCCCGCCCGAGCTGCCGAGCAGGAGCCGCGACACCGAGCGCACGTAGGCCGGGCAGGGGCGGCGCTCGCTGACGCGCGGGCAGCCCCGCCCCCCTCCCGCGCTCCCGCAGCTTCCAGAAGGGCCGGAGCCCGCGGGGGGGCCGGCCCGGTGGCGCAGTCGGAATTGCTGCGGCCGCGGGGCCCGGCCGGGGCGGGGCGGGCGGTGATGCCCTTGTTTATTTTTACCCGGGCGGTTCATCCTCCTCGGCAGCCCCAGCGCGGCCCCCGCTGCCGCTCCCCGCCCCAGCTCCGACGGCGGCGCCGCCTATAAAGCGCCGCCCGCGGGGAGCCGAGGATGCAGCTCTACAGCTCTGTGATCACCCACTACCCGGCGGCCGCCACCGCAGCAGCAGCCGCCGCGGCCTCGCCGAGCTCCGCCGCCGTCTTCAAGGTCTCCTTGTCGCCGGGACCCTCCGCCGCGGAGGCACCGAGCGCCGCCGACGCCGCGGGCCCGAACGCGGCCGCTGAGAGCTCCGGCAAGGACAGCTTCGTTCCCGCGGGGGGCAGCAGCAGCGCCGCCGCCATGCCCGCCTTCTCGTCCTGCCTGGAGGTGATGCCGAGCGGCCCCGCGGCGGGGCCGGCCGGGCGGCCGGCGGGCGGCCCGCAGTTCAGCTCCTGCGCGCAGGTCACCGTCAGCCGGCGGCGGCCGCTGGAGCGGATCGTGCCCATCCGCATCGTTCAGCGCGCCGAGGCCGCCGGAGAGCTGGTGCCGGGCTCGCCGCGCAGCCGCGCCTGGCTGGAGGGCATCCTGGAGAGCGTGCGGCAGGCCGGGGGCGACGGCGAGGCCGCCGCCGAGGAGCCCAGCAACCGCAGCCTGCGGCTCAGCGAGCACTGCCAGGCGCTGCAGGCGGCGGCCGCCGGAGCCCAGCCCGGGCTGGTCCCCGGCTGCGGCCCCGCAGAGCGGAGCGCGGGCCCCGCGCAGCCCGGCGGCCCCGCGCACGGCGAGGAGGAGGAGGCGGCGGGGCCCGACGTGCGGCGGGGGCCCGGCGGCAGAGCGGAGCGCAGCGAGAAGCTGGCGCTGTACCTGGCCGAGGTGGAGAAGCAGGACAAGTACCTGCGGCAGAAGGGCCGGTTCCGCTTCCACATCATCCCCGACGGGAACTGCCTGTACCGCGCCGTCTGCAAGGCGGTGTACGGGGACCAGCGGCTGCACGGCGAGCTCCGCGAGCAGACCGTGCACTACATCGCCGACCACCTGGACCACTTCAACCCCATCATCGAGGGCGACGTGGGAGAGTTCCTCATCGGCGCCGCCCAGGACGGGGCCTGGGCCGGCTACCCGGAGCTGCTGGCCATGGGGCAGATGCTGAACGTGAACATCCACCTCACCACGGGCGGCCGGCCCGAGAGCCCCACCGTTTCCACCATGGTTCACTACCTGGGGCCCGAGGACCCGACACGGCCCAGTATCTGGCTGAGCTGGCTTAGCAATGGGCACTACGATGCTGTGCTGGACCGCGTGTGCCCCAACCCAGAGTACGAGGCGTGGTGCAGACAGACTCAGGTACAGCGCAGGCGGGATGAGGAGCTGGCCAAGTCCATGGCAGTGTCCTTGTCCAAGATGTACATTGAGCAGAATGCCTGCTCATGAGAGCGCCTGGGCCGGGAGCTTTGCTGCAGGGACTGACAGAGAGGCGTGCTGGCTGTGATGGTGATGCCTTAATCCTTAATGAAGCAGCAGCACCCCAGACGGAGAAAGACTGTAGGTTGCGGGGGATAAATACAGACGTAGTTGTAATATTCTGTTGTAAAAACTTAGCCTCGGGTTATTTGCAAGCAGATTTCTCTGTGTATGTTTGTGTCTCCCCTCCGCACTGTCTATTTTCTATAAGAATGTATTTTTGCACACTATTTTTAAACTGTTACCTCCATCTTCTACATCTTACATTAGTATCTGGCTTTCAGCTGTACAGCCAAAAACGTTTGTAAACAGTTTTTGTAAATAAGGCTTATGATGTAACAGCTATTTTTTGCTGTGTTTTTTACCCATAAACCTTATATTTTTACCAAATGAAGTTGATGTCAAACTGACCCCCCTAGTTGATGAAAGTATTGTGGGTATTTTCTTGCAAAATTAAAATAATGGCTTTTGTAAAAGTGCGGCAAAGTGAGAACAGACTGCTTTTAGGAACAGTTGCTTTCTCTGCCTGGAGCACAGAACAGGTCCTTTGAGCCAGTTGGAATGCAGCTACACGTGAACAGTGCAGGGAGCAATTGACTCTTCTGTTTTTAATTACTGTTTTGAGAAAACTGGCCTCTTGTTGCCTGGTTGGCTCACTCTCCGCTCCATTTACATTATTTATCTATAATAACAGAACATTTACTTGCAATAGAATGTTGTGACTAGATAATAGTCTCCTGCTTTGGCAGTAATTGCCTTGGCTGCACCTCAGTGTTTGTGTTCTTGTTTCTGGGGTTATGGTGTCTTTCGTATAAGCCCTGCTTCTTTTTTGGCACTGGTGTTTCACCAACAAGTCATTATCTGATCACAACATTTTATTCACGTGACTTTATTTTCTAATCAAGAAATCAGGAATGGTGTTCTACATTATGGTTTAAAAGAGAAAAAATACTTAGGTTGAGGTTTGTATGGTTTGCTGGGTCAAACATTTAAATGTCTCCAATCTGGATTCTGTCTCTTCTACTTTCTGATTAACTTGTTAGATATATTTATTAAGTAATGCAGTTTGTACTTTTTTATTTTGTAATATATTGTGATTTTGGAATTTATACTGTATTTGTATAATAGGAATATTCACAGCTAAAATGGAATGAATAAAGAATATAATTTTACTTGTGCTCTTCTTTGGTACCTTGTGCATTCCTGGTGTGGGGAAGAATTGTGGGTGGGTTCACAGGACCTTTTATTTAGCTTTTCTGCCTTAGTCTCCCCTATTAAGAGGTGGGAAGAAGGGGCATGGTACTTCATAGATGTGAACCACTGATAATTCTGGTGTCTGTCAATATATGAAAGAAAGAAATGCAAGCATTTAAAGACAATTGAATATCTGTAATTATATTCTTACTGCAAGAGATCTTAGTACATCTGTTTGCCAGTGAGAAACAATTTTCTATATTAATATGCCTTAGAAGAGGAGTTCTCAGGGGGTTGGTGGTGAGCCAGCTCTCTGCTGGACTGTGCACACTTGGGCTTGGACATTGGTCTTTGGGAGCCTCCATTCTGCAGTTAGCCCCAAACTTGAGGTGTGTCCTGTCAGTAGTGATGCCTTGGCATCCTCTTGTTACTCAAATAGAAGTTATGTTATAGGGAGATACAGCTTTCTACTGCCCTCACAAGATGGAAATGCCTTGCAAGTTGTTAAAATGTGTTTACAAATCAGTCCCTGATCTCAAAACAGTAAAAGGCTTCATCCTTAAACAACAGAAGGGTACTGGGTTAAAGTTATGATTAAAAAGTAACTAAATAGCTGAAATGCATCAGTCTTAGCTGAGCACATGTGACAGAGCTGCAGGACTGATACATATATTTGTTACTGGTTTATGTGGTACAAAGAGTAGATTTAAATATTATGTTATTTTCAAAATATTGGTAAATAGAATATTTTTCCCATTCTCTTCACACCCAGTTGTGCTTTTTCTTTAGAGTGCAAACACTAGACCCCGGTCTTTCTAGTCCACTAGTGCTTAACCTATGAATCTTTGGAAAGCTGAGTTTTGAGGTGAAAGCATGGCAAAGATGCAGTCATGGATGTGTTCATAAGGAACAGAGGTAGTTTATGGGGAAAATGGCTACTTGTGTGACTCTAAAAGTGAAGGTATAAATACAGCATCACTAAATACTAGTGATGTGTTGACTGATTAAAAACTTTTTTATCCAGGCTGCTTAGGCTTTGGGTTGGATGCGATTACTTCATTCAAAGTTGTGACTATCCCAATATTTAAAAAAAAATCCCAAACACATTTATTTTAAGTGTTCTAAAATCACCATTTTTGGCTGTATCATGAATTGTGATCACATATTTTGTTTGTGTTTTGCAACACAAACCTTAGAAATGCTCAGTAAGCTAAGCAAAAAGGATTGGTACAGCATAGTGCTCATTCTGTGTGATAAAAATGATACTAAAATATCACAAATAAATAAAGCAGTGTTAAAAACCAACCGTGTGGGACCCTGGGATGGGTTCCCACAGAGTTCCTCAGCAATTTATCTACAGCATGAGTCACAGGGGCATGCAGATAACTTCAAGGAATTTGAAAAAACGAGGTTACTTGTTGAACTGGTTTGCAAAGACATGGAGGGTGTATTGCTGAAGCATGTAACAAGGCACTTGTTTTTGCAGCTTGCATTATGTACTGTGTCTAAAAGGAAATTACAGAAATGGCATTTTAAATGTTTTGGACACAGGGAAAGTTTTGTTGGTTGGGATTTTTTTTTTTTTTTTTTTTTTTTTTTTTTTTTTTTTTTTAATAGCTGTGGTGTTTAAAGTTCAGCTGAGACACTAGGTTCAGATGCAAGCTAGTGGTGTCTTGTTTGAACAG